CTCAAATGATTATATGAAGATCTGTGCTTGAGGTAATAGGTAATCTCTGTTCGTAACAACTGAACAATGTTGCCTGTTTAATCCATGCAAATGGATTTTTATAAAATGTTCATTTGAATTTAATGGGAATTTTTTTTATCCTACATGCTCCACTTAAGCTCAGAGTGGTTTATAGCAAAAAAAAAAAAACAAAGCAAAACAAAACAAAACCCACCTCCCCCTTCCTTATAAAAAAAGTATATTCCAAAACAGAACCACAAAGTAACAATAAGCACAAAAATCTCTGTAAATTTGGGTGCTTGCAGATGTTTGGATTGTTATTCCTATCTTCCCTTACCAATGGCAATGCTGGCTGGGGCTGATGGGAGCTACAACCAAAACATCTGGAACCATAGCTTAGCAGCTAAAGCCCAGTCAATCCCACAAAGGCTTACAGGCTTATTGCAATAATTCCAGAACCATACGTCATGCCACAACTGTGCAGTTGGAAACTGACAGCCCAAGTATATTGACTCCAAATTATATCTCATTGAGAATTATTCCCAGGTAAGTGCACATATGATTACAGCTGCAATGATTAAAGCTTCCATAAGCCCAAAGCAACCATCAACAGAGTTGGCTGTTTACTTGATCTCTCTGATTCACTGCTCTCTTTTTGCCTCCTTTCCATCAGTCTCCTATAGACAAGATGGAAGACAAAACAGTAACATCTTCTCTGCATCTTGGAGCTGTATGAAAAATCATACAGTAATTCAACAAATATTGTAAGAGAAGTTGTATGTTGTACCTCAGCAATTCACACAGCATCACAGATGTTCTAAAGTGGTGGAGAGCTTGAGGTTTTCCAGGTATCAGTTGCCTGTGCTACCTGGGACCGATGAGATTAGAGTTCAGCAGCCTTTGGAGGTTTGAAAGATTTTTCTACAAACAAGCTTTCAGGTATAAGTATAAAAACATGGCATTACTTTTAATTCAGGAAGTAAACTATTTCTCCCAAGGCACAAGTAAGAAATGCAAGGTTGCCTGGAAAGTCCATCTGAAAGACAAAGTATAACTAGATTTCAGAATAAAAATAAAGAATAATTCTGCATCTCAACTGGAAATGAATTTCATAATTCTTATCTAGGGACTACTACCATTAAGGCCCACCTTCTGACATATTTAGCAAAAGCAATAGCACTTAGACATATACACTATTCCATGGTGCTTTACAGCACTCTCTGAGTGGTTTACAGAGTCAGCATATTACTACTCTGGACCCTCATTTTACCAACCTCAGAAGGATGAAAAGCTGAGTCAACCTTGAGCCGGTTAGGATCGAACTCCTGGCAGTGGGTAGAGTCAGCCTGCAACACTGCATTGTAACCACTGCACCACCACCACTATATAGTGAATGGCTTCTGCTAGTTGAGAGAGACTAATAACAGAGGGAGAGAATTATTCATTCAGAAAATTTCAAAACTTGTCCACTGTCACATATCTTATTTATGCACATGTATGTATGCATTTCTCCCAACTATTTCAATGCCCTCTCTCATTGTAAAAACACCCCAATCTAAATTCACAATTATGATCATTGGAAACTGTTGCAGTGCCCTTCTACAGTCATGCGATCACAATTCAGGCACTTGGCAACCTGCTCACATTTATAATAGGTTGCAGTGCCTGCAGTCATGTGATCACAATTTGTGATATTGTCTGCCAGTTTCTACCAAAAAATTGCCACTTGGGAACCTGGATTCACTTGTGACATGATTTACATAATGCCTGTAGTAATAAATTTATGACAGTTGTAAAAATGGTCATAAAATTGGGTCGTCATGTGACTCAAGTTACAACTGCAGTGAATTATGAAAAAAAATTCCAATTCCAATTGTGCTTGTAAATCGAGGACTACCTATTTTCACACTATACAACATGTCCAATCTCCTTGTCATCTCTACATATATGCAATTTCTAATATGAATCATGATGCCATCTGAAGCATATTATCCTTCAGTCCTAGTTGTAATTATTTACTGAATGAAAAGCATTCTTCACATGGTCAGAGATCAATAAAATTCTATCCATTTATATATATCAGGCTTATCCCAAAGTGCAAGGAACTGAGGAGAAACTAGATTTGATTTTAACTGACTTCTTGGAAACAGCACACAGTTTTTTTGTTCATAAATTGCAACAATGATGTATATTATAACTGCATATACTTCAATATATGGTGGGCCATTTAACTGTTTCCTCGCCTGCTACAGCCCACACAATACTTCTTGCACTTATATCTACATTTGGCTGTGGGATTCTCCGATGGAAATAGCCATTTCTAGAGAGGGGGTTTGTGTGGTAACATTAAGGAAAGAAAGTGTTAACTCAGTTGTTTGCTTCTTGTTTGATCCAGTTTGTTATCAGGTCTCTGCATCTGATACAAAGTGTAGTTTAAAAACCACAGAACTTTATTTTGGTTTTGGTTCACTCTCCAGCTCCTGACTGAAAGCAAGTTCTGGGCAGTTCGATTTATCTGTCGCCCTGCAAGAAGGTAGCAAATTTCAGGCCAAGAGATTTGAGAGGGAAGTCTTAGGAATGGTTTTGTGAATGTGGGACCTTTTATACCAAACAAAGAAGGTGTTTTGATAGAGTGGGAGAGTTTGAGTTTATCCCAAACAAAGAGATTTGCCCAAGTATACAGAGTATCAGAGGCCTTGTTAATTAACTAGAGAATGACAAGAGTGATGTGTCAAAGAGATCCTGCCCTGGAATTAGCCCAGACCAGGATGCAAACAGTGCAGGGCCTAACTGGTTTGACCAGATAGATGTGTCCAAGGAATGTGCCAGGCAAAACAGTCCCACCCAGTCCTGTCAGAAAAAGCAGCATTTAAGTGGATGGATTAGGAAAATATACAGTCACTGACAGCAAACTGAAAATAAAGTAGAAAGCTCAGAAAGAAAGGTTTTTCTGAGAATCAAAGGAGTTGTCTCCAAAGTACACGCTTCAGACACAACAATGCTTAGTTGGTTCTGGGTGCAGTTGCACACTGGTCTACTTCACATATTGTACAGTAATAAGCCAAGATTTGTAAGATGGGCTTACAAAGCCTGCTACGTCAAAGCATGGTTTAGAAGCTGAAAAAATTGGGTTCACAAAACATGCTAAGTCCAAATCAAATAAATGAGACTTTGATCCAAAACATGAAGAAGGTGGACTTTATCAGAGACCGCCATTTGACCCAGTACAAACTAAACACCCAGATAAGCATTGGCAGCCCACTGGGGTAGGGAGTTTGTTAATCCCCTTGCTTTTACTAACCTCCAGGGATTGGTAAAAAGATCATGGCCAGAGTAGGTGTTTCCGAGTTTACAATAGAATTGTTATAGTTTGTTACATAACACTCTTCTTCCTAAAAGTTTCAGACACAACCCCACTCCCTGCCTTTTAGCTGTACAATTGCCCTGTGAGGTAGGGGACTGAGCCAAGATCAGCCCTTGAGCTTTCTGGAAGAACAAAGATGGTCTTGGGGGAGGGGAGGCTGGTAGATTATACTGTAATGGCATTTTAATCAACTTCCCTAGGCAAAAGACGTTTGCAGAGAACTGGTGCTAGTAGAGACCAAAAGTAACAGCTAAACCTCTCCCTGGCAGTTACACAAGAGGGGACTCAAACATCCAGGAACTGCCGATGGGAGATAAAAGTTTAAATAAACACTCTTTCAATTGCAGTGGTTTAAAAAGAATGAATAAATAAATACTAGGCTTTAATTATAAGGAATTGTTAAAACTCTTGCCTAATCAAACAAAAATAGGGAGAGAGAAGAGTTTAATCTCCTTTAGGAAAGGATTTCATACTTTAAGCATCATAGTTGACCCATGGTTCTTAAATGTACATTTTCCTCAGTAGAATGAAAACCATCTATCCCTTTATAAGGAAAAAGTAATAATTTAGGATAGAAGCAAATATAGTCCCTATTTGCTCTTTTCTGATTACTCCCATTGGGATCTCTTTGCATTCTATTTTGGAAACCAATTCTTACTATACCAAGACATACATGGGCATATTTTAACCAGTTAATCTTTTAAAATAAATACAGTATGCTTCAGCCATGCAGTGTTTCAATTATCCAAAGTAGAATGCACTGAGCTGATTAATGAATGCTTGGCACTTATATATAACAGTGCATTTATGTTTTTATTGTTTCATTTGGAATTAAAATGTTCACCAGGATCTTTCTAGCTACTGGCCAATGCAAGCCTTTAGGTATATGGGGAAAATCTTAGGGAACTATACGGCTAGAATAATTCCTATTTATTTCCAATCAAAAAGTGTGGTTTTTTTTCTTTTTATTTTGGAAGGGGAAATAAAACGCTGATCTTTGTTTGGTTTTTTTCTCCAGGAAGCTCAGAATGGTATAGGTGATTTTCTTCCATTTTACACTGATAACAGTCTAATAAAGCTACATATTCAGTACAGATAGTTTTTGCCTTACAACCATTTGTTTACCAATTGTTTAAAATTACAATGGCACTGGGAAAAAAAGTGACTTACCATTGGCCCTTGCACTCAAAAGCGTCACGGCATATTCACTGTCATACAGTTAAATTCAGGTGCTTGGCAGCCAGTGTGTATTTACAACAGTTGCGAATTCCCAAGGACATGTGATTGCCATTTGCAATTTTCCCAGCTGGCCTCCAACAAACAAAGTTAATAGGGCAGTGGTTCTCAACCTTTTTAATGCCGCAACCCCCCAACCAGTCGTAAGTCAAGGACTACCCAACCAGTCGTAAGTCGAGGACTTTCCCTGTCCGGGAGCGCCGCGCATGCGTGGTGCCGCCCCCTGCGCCGGCCGAGGCGTAACAGGCAAGCGGCAGAGACGGCACAGGCCAACCACCGGCTGGGCCACCGGCTGGCCCAGCCCAAGGGAGGTAAGGCACCGCCGGGCCCCACCCGCACCAGCAACCCTCCCTGCACCTGCCAGCCTCCCACCTCCCACCCCTGGCCCTCTTTTACTTACATTTTTAGTAGTTGCTCAGCAGGGAGGAGTGGAAGCTTCCAGACAGCTCGCCTTCACTGCAGACAACTTGCAGCACCGTTTGCAGAATGGGACTTTTGGCGGGCTCAGCAAGGCAGAGACAGCCTGGACAATTCCTATTGGCTTTTGAAAGCCAATAGAATTAGACTCTATTCAAGAGAGTCTATTCTATTGGCTTTCAAAAGCCAATAGAATAAAAGGGAGTAGCACAGCTAAGGAAAAGAGGAAAAAATGGCGGACTGCGTTGTTTGGCGACCCCCGTGAAATGATCGTTCAACCCCAAATGGGGTTCCGACCCACAGGTTGAGAACCACTGTAATAGGGGAAGCTAGATTTGTTTAACAACTGCATGTTTCACTCAATAACTGCAGTGATCCACTTAACCATAGGAAAAAAGGTTGTAACATCAGGTGTGACTCAGTTAACATACACACACACTAAGGTGACCAACCGTCCTCCTTTTGGGAGGACAGTCCTCCTTTTGTGAGTTCCATCCTCCCTCGAAAATGTCCTCCTAAATGTCCTCTTTTTCTATATTTGAAGACTTATCTGCAGGGCTTTTTTTCCCTCATAGAACACTCAGAAGGTGTTCCGGGACCTTTTTTTGATGGTTTTTTTCAACTTTTGCCTGAGCTGTGCTACTCCCGCTATTGGCTTTCGAAAGCCAATAGGAATTGCTGCTGAGCGCGCCAAAACACCCGGGCGGCAAACTTTGCACGTGCAAGTTGCAGGAACTTTGCACCCCTCACTGCTACCCAACTACACCATCTCTTACTTAGTTCCGCAGATAGCTGGAGGAGACTGGAGTGGTAAGTTTCTCTTGATATTCCCTGTTCGGTTCTACACGGGGATGCACAGGGTAGGCGGTGGTGCTGGGGGGCGGCTGGGGGGTGGCTGCAGGGCCAGAGCCGGCACGGCTGGTGCTTTGCGAGCCACGGGACCGGCTCTACGGGGATGCGCAGGGTGGGCAGTGGTGCTGGGGGGACAGCTGCAGGGCCGGAGCCAGCGCGGCTGGTGCTTTGCCTTTGAGAGCCGTGGGGCTGGCTCTGCGGGGATGCGCAGGATGGGCGGTGATGGTGGGGGACGGCTGCAGGGCCGGAGCTGGCTCGGCTGGTGCTTTGCGAGCGACGGGGCTGGCTCTCTACGGCAGGGCAGCGGTGCTGGCGGGGCGGCTGTGGGTGGGGGCGTGGCGGGCAGTTGACCTTCCATGGGCCGCACCAGCTGGTGGTCTATGCAGTGCTAACCTGCGCTGCCACCTCATCCTGCGCACCTACGTGGCCATCCTGGAGCACCTGGCTCACAACACCTGCCTCCGCCGCCCACCCCCATGCAGTCCAGCTGTGTAGATTTTTGGACAAGTGAGAAATCGAGATTGAATGTCGATACTCTAGCTGCAGCACTTGCCGTAAAATTCAATATGAAGGATATTTCTTGTTCAGATATTTCCAATATATTGTTAGAAGATGATACATTGACAAAAAATATTCATTCAATGGAAAAGTACTCATTTAAATAATTAATAGGCATGTAAGCATAATTACAATATAAAATGTTATTGTTACAAATGTTTTTTATTATGCATTTATCATATTATAGTATATTTTGTATTATTGTAATAAATACAATGTTTCTTTTATTTACGATATTTTTTTCTTCAATTTATTCATGTCCTCCTTTTTGTTGTAAAAAAGTTGGTCACCTTAACACACACACACACACACACACACAGAGTTAGCAATGGAAATTCTGATTCCAATTGTGCTTCTAAGTCAAGGATTACCTTTAATAGTGGCTGGCCTTGTTTCTTTTGTATGTATAATGGCTTGTACAGTACAGATGTAAGTAATGATATGAACTTTTCTGCCGCTTTCTAGTTTAGATTCTAGGCCTATGTCAAATTGGCTCAGTTTTAGGCTTGTTTGAGGAAAATTTAAAGTAATGTGCCTAAAATTGTTATAGAGCTGAACAGCCCGATAGATTTAATATTGAGGGGTCCCTGGTGCTCTCTGGGCTTGCTTGTCTTCTTGCAGACGTTTCACTACCCTAACTACTGGTAGGTAACATCATCAGTGCTGTTTTCAAAAAAATGGGGTCAGTTTGGTGCAGTATTTTAAGGCATCCGGCTGCTAATCAGAAGACCTGGTTCTAGTCACTCCTTAGGGACAAGACCAGCTAAGTGACTTTGGCCACTCACTTTCTCTCATCTGTAGGAAACAGGTAATGGCAAAGCCCTTCTGAAAATCTTGTTAAGAACACTGCAGGAATTCATCCAGGTAATCGTCAGGAGTCAAAACTTGTTCACAGGCACACACATACAAGCACACAAAATCTTTTTCAGTCCATCCAATTACGTATGGTATTCAGAACATCTGTTCTAGTGATCAGCTGGCTCAGTAATACAAGTGTAGAGTTCATCAAACCTGGTGCTCACTATACTTTGAAAAACAAACAGACTTAAGATTGAAAAATGCTGATATTCACTCTTCCTTGAACCAGAACAAAAAGATAAAGTGTTGGAAACAACCACAGGCAATTGTTCTTGTCTGGATCTGACAGCTGCAAATGGCACCTTTCTTTCTTAAGAAACTATTTGGGACCAGTAATACAGATTAAATTAGATCACACTTCCAAGCAAACAGGAATAATAAAGATCTACCTGACAAGTTGGATTAAAGAACAGGATGAAAAAAACAGAGCTATACAAGTAGTCCTTGACTTACAACAGCTCATTTAATGACCATGAAAAAAGTAATTTAAGACTGTTTTTCACACTCAGGACCATTGCAGCATCCCCATGATCATGTGATCAAAATTCAGCCGCTTGGCAAATGACTCATATTTATGACAGTTGCAGTGTCCTGGGGTCATGTGATTTCTTTTTGCAGCCTTTTGACAAGAAAAGGCAATGGGAAAGCCAGACTCACTTAACAACCCTGTTGGCTAATTTAACTGCAGCAATTCATTTAACAACTGCGGCAAGAAAGGTTGTAAAATGGGGCAAACTCACTTAACAAATATTTCACTTTGCAACGGAAATTTTGGGAATTGTGACCGTGCATTGAAGACCACCCCTACTTAAAGCCCTTTATAATGAATTGCTCAATACATTAAAATCAGTGACGTGATTCTGGTGCTTAATTTAATTGTGGGGGTAAACTAAAGACCTGAGTTCTAGTCTCACTTCAGGCATAAAGCCAAATGGGTATCTTGAGCCAGCCACTCTCTGTCAATCCTAGGAAGCAGCAAATGGCAAACCACTTCTGAAATTTGCCATTATGGCCAGTGAGAGAGAGATTTATGAGAAATTAAAGGAAAAACTCCCTTCGGTTTCCCCCCATCAGTCAACAGAAATCAACTGATGGCAGGCTGCAGAATGGAAAATGTAATCCAGGGCTTCCTATTAAAAAAAAAAAAAAGGTGGGGGGAAGAAAAACATTGCTTGCTTTCTAATCGCTAATTTGTGCGCAAAGCTCACCGCCGCTTGACAGGACTCCGCCTTTCCTACCGCACCAAACGAGGTGCTTTTGTGGCTGGACTAAAGGATACAACAGAGCGGGGGGGAGAAGCCCCTTGTACGTCAGGGAGATTATGCTAAAGGCAAGCAGAAACAGCTGTGCGTGCGTGTGTGCGTGCTGTTGTTATTAATATTACCCCGGATTGTTACGGGTTTTGATGTTGCTCGCTTCCCCCTTCCACCAAAATGGGGAGGGACCTTCGACCTCCAGGCGGCGCAGGTTCACCACGACTTGCCAGCCTTGGTCACATTTCGCCTTTGCAGCTTACAAAAACAAGACACATCCTAAAAAATATTAGCAGCCCGCAATGAATCCGAATTTAGCTGGGATGGGAGGGAAAGGCTGAATGGAGGATGAAGGAGGTCGCCTCTGTGGGGCTCCCCGTTGTTACCAAGATCTGGAGAAAGATGGTTGCCCGTTTCTACCCCCCTTTCCTTCTTCCCCGATCTCCTCCCCTCACGCCCCTTTCCCTTTCCTGGTTGGCAGCTCGGATTGGCAGAGGCGGAGCTGGAAGGGGGAGGGGAGAATATCCTGGGGGAGGGGTCTCCCTGGGGTGGGGGGAGGTGGTGTTTGCAGCCAGAGAGTCAAAGGCAAGTGAAGGTGGAAGGAGAGACCGAGTGGCGGAGCGCGGGCCGGGAAGTCGCTGCAGACAAGACAGACGAAGCGACGCACGGACAGAGGGTATCCCGAAACACGGGGAGGGGTAGCAAACAATGTGGGGGAGGGGCTGCTAAATGAAAATGTGATTGTTAGTTTCTCCCCCCCCCTTTTTTTTTTTTCCTGGTATGCCTGCTTCTCCCCAGATCGAGCACCGAGAAAAAAATCAGGCAAGGGAAATCTGTTGCAAGGTGTGTGCTAAGCCTTAAGAGGCGAGCGTGCTCTATATATTGCAGAACCACTTCCCCACCTTTCGGCTCCAATCCCTTCCCACCCCCCAACTCAAATTGGGTAGCTTTCATTCCCAAACCAGGCTGCAAGCAAACAAACAAAGTCCTCCACCGCCCCTCCCCAAGTCAAAACAGCCTTGTGCTGTAGATGGCGGTCTCGATGCCTGTGTTATTAATGCTAGCATTTTCCCCCTGGTCAATCTAAGTCGTGGGGGGGGGGGCGGGAGGCGGCGGCTTCCTCTTTCTCACCCGAGCCGGCGCTGCTTCGGATTAATATTCTGCCTGGGTTCTTCAATTCGCTGGCAATTGACCTAATCGGCAAACTCAAATGTCAAATGGGTGGGAAAGAAAGAAAGAAAAACCCACTCCGGATGGGAGGTAGCTTTTTCTGCTGCCCCCCCCCCCAGACCTTGAAGGGCCAAATTACGCTGGTTTGGGCAGAGGAGAACCTTTTCTCCTTGAGGGTGCTGGGAGGGAGGGTATCAGGTGGGAGGGGGGAGGGCTTTAGATCCTTACCTCCTGGGAGAGGGGGGGAAAGATGGGAGGACAAATCGGATTGCAGTAAATGGGAGGGGGGAAATGTGTAAGCTGGCTTGTCTGGGTCTCTGGGGAAGGAG